TGATGACATGTGAATGATTGACTGCACCACGGAGCTCTGAATTCTTTTTCCCAGCCTAGTTTTCCTTTTGTGTTCCAGTGCCACGCCCTCCTTTGGTTACTGTTGCTTCTGAGCGTGCCCAGGGATCTGGCAGCCAGGGGTCTCAGACCCCAGTGATAGTCCCTCACCTCCCCGCCCCAGCCTCAAGGCCTTGGACCTGGAGGGAGAGAGTTCGGGTCTGACTTCCTGTGTGTGAGTCTGGACAGGTCCCCCAGCCTCTCGGAGGCTCAGAGCGAGCACATGACTGATTGACGTGTGTGCAATGCCTGCCCTTAATAGGTGCTCAGCACAAGCTTGTACTTTGTGATTTTTGAAACTGTCCCTGGGAGAACGAAGCCTGGGATTTGAGCAGATTTGGGAGTGGGGGCCTCTCCTCCAGGCTACAGTTAATTGTCATCCCAGTTGGTAGCACTGGGGCCATCCCGAGGAGGACTCCCTTGCCAGGCTGCAGAGCCCGGTCTCAGCTCAGGTGAGGGGCACGGAGGCACTTATCCCCACTTGAGTCCCAGCTGCTCACGGCCCTGTTTCCATGGTTACCGCCTAGGGATGAGATCACCTTCTGGCTCACGGGCCCAGGAACACAGGCACTCGGCCAAGGAGGGCCTCTAGCGTGTGGCAGTCACTGTGGCTGGCACCGGGCAGGGGCAGAGCAGGCTGAATGCCCCTCCCAGACAGCAGGGGTGGGGCCGCAGGGCACAGACGGGGAGGTCAGAGCCAGAGAAGCCAACTTGCCAGCTGGGGCCATCGGCGTGTGAGTCCCAGTCCTCCGAGAAGCAGACACCAAGATGGAATGAGGCTGTGAGATCTACTGAATGGAACAGAGGCAGGTGGGCAGAGCGTGAGACCACGCGCGGGAGCGACCCCTGAGAGAGGAAGGCGCTGGAGGCGGAGCTCCCAGACAGTCTTGCCTACACACTGTGGGCGGCCTCCCAGCTGACTGCTCTCAGAGGAGCCCCCAGCAGCCACGCTGCATGCTAAGTCTCTGCAGGAAGTTGGCTCAGGAGTAGGGGTCCCAGGCAGCCATATCCTTCCCAACAGGCTCTCCCCTGGAGGGGGTGTGAGCAGCCCCTTGGAGCTGCATCTCCCTCACCAAGTGGCCTGCTCGAGTCCCAGCCCTCCCCTTGGGTGCTGATGCTGGGGCTGGTGGCGTCAGGCGGAGGAGGAGCATGCCAGGCCAGGAGGACGTGTCCACCTGAAGCCCGCATGTCCCCGTGCCCACCCTACTTATAGGAGATGCTGGTGGCCACAGTGATGTCTCCGCGGGATGTGGCATGGAAGAAGGGCCTTGGGGCTGTGTCAGGGCCACTAGGACACCAGAGCCTTGGAGAAGGGGCTCTGTGCTCTCGCCCTCTGCCTGCAGGGAGGTGACAGGCTGCAAGCTGCATGGCAGGAAGATGCCGGGCACCCACCTGGAGGGACTTTTGCGGGAGGCTCGGGAGTTGGGGAAGGAGGGTTTCCTGGAGCCTTATGCTGAGGACTGGGCTGTGGACGACAGAGAGAACTTGGAGAGGAGGAGCCAGAGGACCTTGAAGCAGGACGCTGGGGACAGGGGCCCTGGATGAGCAAGTGGTAGGAGGGGGTGGCCAGAAGGAAGGGCAGAGCCAGAGGATGGGGAATGGAGGCACTGGGGAGGGGAGGAAGAACCCTACGGTGACCCTTGGGAGCCCAGGGGGCCTCTCGGGGGTCCTCTGTCTGCTGGCATTTACAGTGAAACAAGATGCCTTCCTTGGTGACCTCCCCCCACCCCGCCCCCTTCAGCCTCAGCCATCTGAGGCTGCCCCGCCCACGATGCTGCAGAGACACAGGTCTCTCTCTGCTGGACCACTCAGAGAATTTGCACCTGCTCTTCCCCTTGCCACACACCCATGGGTCCCTGTGGGCTCTGGCTCCTCCTCCAGGTTTCAGCCCCCATGTCCCCTCTCCAGGGGCTTCTCTGCCACTCCTTCTAAAGGACCCCAGCCCCACAGCCCCTGGGCCCTGACTGTCTTTATAACACTTAGCGCAGCCTCCCATGATTTGCTAGCAGTTTTTGTTTACCGTCTGCCTCTCCTGTTACCTCCAAGAACGTGGAGACTTTGCTTTGTTCACAACTTCTGTCTCAGCTCCTAAAATACACTGGGCACAGAGCAGGTTCTTCCAACCTTTCTTTTAAAGTTTGTAGTTGAGGCCGGCGCCACGGCTCAATAGGCGCTGGCACCCTGGGTTCTAGTCCCGGTCAGGGCGCCGGATTCTGTCCCGGTCACTCCTCTTCCAGTCCAGCTCTCTGCTGTAGAGTGCAGTGGAGGATGGTCCAGGTCCCTGGGCCCTGCACCCGCATGGGAGACCAGGAGGAAGCACCTGGCTCCTGGCTTTGGATCGCTGCAGCGCGCCGGCTGCAACACACCGGCCGTAGTGGCCACTTGGGGGGTGAACCAACGGAAAAAGGAAGACCTTTCTCTCTGTCTCTCTGTCTCTCTCTCACTGTCTAACTCTGCCTGTCAAAATAAAAAAAAAGTTTGTAGTTGAGAGGCAGATAGCAGAGTGAGGGAGGGGGAGGGGGGAGCACACAGGGAAAGACAGAGTACTACCTTCTGCTGGTTTACTCCTCAAATGCATCAGTGGCTGGGTCTGGGCCAGGTCGAAGCCAGGAGCTGGAAATTCAATCCAGGTCTCCCGGGTGGAGATCCAATGGCTCGAGGCATTGCAGCTGCCTCCTGGGGTCTGCTTTAGCAGGAAGCCGGAGGCAGGAGGTGCAGCCTGAAGCAGGTGCTGAATCCAGGCTCTCGGCTGTGGGCTGCAGGTGCCGTAACTGCCATTTCTTCACTGCCAGGCCCAAGCACGCTTCCGTGTCCAATGGCGGAATCCGCAATGCTTTAAACCCTAACCCCGCGGAGGTGGGGAGCCCCCTCATGTAATTTTCAATGGGGAAGCAGAAGCAGGAGAGTCACTGGTCCCAGGTGAGCGAACGTGCCAGGGGCTGTGGCTTCGGAGCTGTGGACACTCCTGAGCTGGTGCCTCCACAAGCTGGGAGGGTGGCCTTGCCCAGGTTAGCTGCCCTGTGTGGGAGCCAGCCTGTTCACCTAGGAAAAGAAAGAGCAGCCCCTCTCAGGAGCCAGGGGAGGAGTGGGTGAGAAAAACACGCATGACAATGTCCTGCCCCGAGGCCGATGCCACGCGTGGGTCACAGAGGTGCAGACGCACCTGTTCAGCCTGGCTCTCCCACCCTGCTGCCATCCGTGCTGGAGTGGAGAGAGCCCTGAGCTTGGTGGCTCCTCAGCGGGGTGGGCTGATGTGTGAGGGATTTATGCGACGCTGCTCGAAATGAAAAGCAATTCAATTCAATCCCAGGGTGGCAAGAGGCTTCCCGGAGCCTCGCTAAGTGGGTCTGGAGCAGCGATCAGCGTTGCAAATCTATTAGCCTGCTCCCGGCATCTGGGGCTGCCGTGTGCATGAGTCATTGGGGTAGGGAGCCAGGAAGCTGCAGCGTCCAGCAGGCTGCTCATCAATAACTCCTCTCTGCTTAATTAAGACATAAAACATCGCCCCATGTGTCTGTGAAAGGGGTTGCACACCCAGTGCCGTGGCAGCCCTGCAGCCGCCCCCTGCTGCCAGCATCACACGTCCACGGGTCGCTCTCTTGCCCGGGACATGGCATCCCTGATGCAGGGCCATCTGCTTGCATGCTGCTTGTGACTTGTAGCTCACCATCTCCGGCCTTTCTGCCCCAGGCAGGCCAGGAAGGGAGGTGGAGGAGCCAGGGGCACACTGCTTAGCTGTGCAACATCGTCCCGGTTCTCGGCCTCTCTGCCTCCGTTTCTCCGTCTGTACATGGAATGATGGGAATCAGGGTTCTTTTGAGGGTAAGGTGGGTGAGTTATACACACAGAGCCCTGGGGTCCAAGCCCAGGATGTCAGCTGTCTCTGCACTTGTCACCGGGATGCCCTCCTCTCAGCCACTGCTGTCTCTGCTGTCCTGGGCCTTGTGTGACCGACAGGGCACACAGTGTTGGGTTGGGGCAGCCCCGTCCAGCTCACCCTCTGGACAGGAGGTGTGAGGAAGGAAAGAACCTGGCTGCACTGACCGACATGTCTCCCCTGTCCAGTGTAAGCAGGTTCCTGGGTGTGAGCCAGGTTTCCTTGGTGAATCCATGAGTGATATGAGTTCTCTCCTGGGTGTCTTTGGGCTCAAGACTTCAAGGTGAAGGGGAGTGGTGCGCTAGGAATTTTCCCATCTTGGCTTTCGGCAGCTGCCATTGAAATTCCATCTCCTTGTGAGATCCTTGCCATTTCTCCGCCTCAGCGTTCTCATCTGGGAAATGGATACAAGCTCCCCTTATTTGTCTCTTTGGTATCTATCCTCTTCCGTGATAACAGAACATTACTTAGGGAAGCAGCAGCAGTTCCCTCAGCACGGGGAAGGACGACCCCTTTTCCAGGCTCCTTTGTAACTGGGGGTGGACACGGGACCCTAGTCGGCCAACAGCACACGCACTGGGTCTTCTGGGGTGCTGGGACATCAAGACCGAGATCAAGACTGAGTCTTCCCGTGTATCACTTCGATCTTGAAGTGCTGTCTGAGGCCACAAGTGTGGGGACCAGAGCCAATCAGCTAAGAGTAGAGACAGAGCCGGCACCTGCATGCCCCTGGACCCCTGACTACAGGTCAACAGTAAACCCCTATGGGCTGCAGCCTCAACAAATCAGAGTTTTCTGTTACTTAGAAGCACACTGACCACTGGTGCAGCACGGTCATCACACACAGGGCACACGGAGCAGGTAATCAACAAACCCAAGTGTCCATTCACGCCCAGCCTGACTTGGTGACCTGCCCCTGCAGGGGAGTGTGAGAAGGAGGTGAGGCCCTGCTCTGTCAGAACACGCCTCAGAATATGACCCAGCCTCCAACTGCCGTGGAAAGTTCTAGAATGAGGTAGTGTGTGTGTGTGTGTGTGTGTGTGAGTGTGTGTGTGTGGGTGGGCGGACCAGCCCCCAGAGAGGGAGAGCAGAGGTCTGCAGCTCAACAGGCGTCCCTGGGAGCCAGGATTGCTGCTTGGCCAACAAGCTGGTGTGTTGGACCAGCCTGGCTGTTGATGAAGGTATATGGATCTGCAGAAGGGGATGCCCAAGTTAGAGACTCGCTGTTCCTGAGCTGCTGGGGGCCATGGAGGGGACATGGGGAGGCAGAGCAGGGTGGGGCCTGCCCGGATGACAGCCTGTGGCCCCCAGGGTCCCCGAAGCTCCATGCCTCGTGCTGTTGTCATGGCGTCATAGCGCCTAGCCTATTATTTATTTTGTACGTTCTCTTCAACGGTTCCCTTTTAAAAACCTAAACAAATGGAGCTCGGGATCCCGACAAAGCCTAGAAAGCCAGCGCCAGCTGCCATCACTAGAAGGTAACTGTGAACAAACACAATGAACGCCCACGCAGCCTCCCTCCCAGCCAGCAGGCCCAACCTGCCAAGGATCTGGGCCGCCTGCCTGGCGCGCTCGTTCAAACACGAGAGCACCACGTGTCAGGTGCAGCTGCCCGCGCGCCGTCCGCCGCGGGGGCGGGGACGAGAAGGAGGCCAGGTTTTACGTCCTCGCGCGTCGTGTCGCTCGATTTACGGCCGGGGCGTCTCTAGTCCGCCATGAACCTGTACAGCGTCGGAGCGGGACGAGAAAGGGTGTGTGTGTGAGATGCTGGGGAGACGTGGTTTGACGCAGGGCGGATAAATGAAGACTGGAGATCCTCTGAGAAGGGGAGAGCAGGAGACGGGAGTGGGAAGAGGGTTCCGGCAGCTCCGGCTCCTTCCGCTCCCCGGGCAGCTGGGTGCGGTCCGGCCTTGACGCACCTGCTCCTGCTCTGGTTCTCCCCACCTCAGCGGGAACTGCCCTGCGACAGGGTCACGGACAAGGACCCTGCTGTGATAAGCAAAGCAGCCCGACCCCAGATTTCCCGGTCCTCAGGGTGGGTCCCCGGGCACCGGCACTCCCAGCACCGGCGGCTGTTGGAACCTTCCCAGCCTGTGCCACAGGCGCTGCCTGGACGGGAACGGACGAAGGACGCCGTCCTCTGTCACAGGGTGGATTGGAGGCGCTGTCAGCCCCAGGAAGAATTCTGGAGTGCACGGCGGGAGGCACAGTTCGATGCCAAAGCCCGACCACCAGGAGTTCCCGGAGCCGCACTGAGGAGCATCTCAGTGGGAAGCCGGGGTCGTTGGCCACAGCGGATGGGAATCAAACACCGGGAGAGCCACGCGGGGCCGCGCGCTGCGTGCTTGTTCTGGCTGCCACCAGCGTCCGCTTCCTGCACGTCTGCGTGGCTGTCGTGGGAAAGGAAGAGATTCCCGGATCATGTTAATTTCACACAAGCTTCTCGTGGGCAATCATGAGCAAAATAAGGTCTGTCGGTAGTGACATTTCTTTAGTGAGTGAGTTCTGCCCAATGCAGTAATCCAAGAAACTGAAATGGGGGAGGCGGGGGGAGAACTGTTGTGAGCAGACAAATCTATCTTTCGGTAGCTTGGGTACATTTACATCCTGGTGAATAAGTGGAAAATTAACCACAGTTAAGGGGCTTCTGTAGGTAGCTAAGTGGAAGATAAATATTCATAGAAGCTTCCAGTTAGAAGACTGTGACTGACAGACGTGTGCTGCCTGCTGCCTCTCCGTAGAACGTGTTGCTGTGTGTGCCGGGGGCGTGGGCAGCATAGCCTTCAGGGGCCAGCCCATTTGGGGCTGGGCTCACTGGCAGAGATCCTGCTTGATGGAGGACACGTTTTTCCGGAGAGAGTGTATCTCCAGTGACCGAGGGAGGACAGGATCAAGCTCAACTGGGCAATTCTAACAGACGGCTCTAGCTGCAGGCTCCTCGTGGGGTCACGCTAAGTTCATGGGGCCTGCGCGACTCCCGACTTCTCTCTGTCTAGTCCTGCTTCCTTCCCTTGCCTTACATGGTATTGATCCCCAAGGTCAGCTTCCTGGAAAACCCAACATAAAACAATAATGCTATGGAAAAATAGCCTGTTGACAGTAACAACAGAAATCTAATCAGATCTCATGCGATTTTCATAAAGAAAAAAGCAGGAGAGAGAGTCCTGATTTGGACAATGGACTACCAAATGTTGGAGTCACTCTGCAGTGCCCAGCTCACTGGGAAAGTGTCCTTCCTGGATGTGTTTATGAAGGTGTTTCCAGAGGAGCTTGGCATTGGCAGCAGTGGACTGAGTACGGAAGACCCACCCTCGCCCGTGCAGATGGGCATCCTCCAGCCTGCTGATGGCCTGAACTGAACAAGACAGCACAAGGCAGGCAGGTTTCTGCATTCTCCTGCACTGAGTCATAGCGCCGGCTTCCGTGGCTCTTCAGCGCGTAGAGGGCATGTTGTGGGGCTTCTGAGCCTCCATGATTGTGTGCATTAACTCCCATAGTAAATCCCCTCTTTGTCAATCTGCCCATCTCTCCACCTGTCTTACTCTGTTGGTTCTGTTTGTTTGGAGAACCCTGACTTGTGCTAGAACCCATTACTGCACTAAGCCCTTCCCTGTGACATGCTTGACGCCTTTTACCAGAAGTGAAAATATTTTAAATATTTTTTAAAAATAAAGAAAAAGCACCATTTCACTCACAAATAAGGAGGGACATCCTGGTGGACCTGAAACTTTGAGGAATCCCCAAATGCCTGGAGTTGATGGGATTGAATAGAAGGGAAAAAAAAAAAAACAGCTATCTGACAAAGTAGGAGGGTCTTTAGCACAGCACAGGAACACAGGTTGGGGTCACCAGGTGTTTAGAAATGCCACTGCAATCTGCAACAAAAGCAAGGGCCCCCACAATGAGAGTTTATTTATGAATCTTCAGGAGTGTTTAAGAGCTGCTTTAAAAAAAAAAAGATATACTGTGGTTGGCACTGTGGCGTAGCGGGTAAAGCCACCTTTTGCAGTGCCAGCATCCCATATGGGCGCCGGTTCGAGTCCTGGCTGCTCCACTTCCGATCCTGCTCTCTGCTCTGGCCTGGGAATCTTAAATAAATCTTAAAAGAGATTTATTCATTTATTTATTTATCTGAAAGGCAGAATTACAGAAAGAAAGAAGGAGAGAATAGAATCTTTTGTCTGCTGGTTCACTCCCCAAATGGCTGCAAGTAGCTGGAGCTGGACCGGCCCGAAGCCAGGAGCCAAGAGCTTCATATGGGTCCCCTGTGTGGGTGCACTGGCCCAAGCACCTGGGCTGTCCTCTGCTGCTTCCCCAGGCACATTAGCAGGGAGCTAGATCAGACGTGGAGCAGCCAGGACTGGAACCAGTGCTCGTATGGGATGCCGGCATCGTCGGTGGCAGCTTTACCTGCTATGCCACAACATCAGCCCCCTAAGAGCTATTATCACTAATATCCTCAGAGAGATAAATACTGTTATTTCATCCATGAACAAAGACGAGTTATGAGAAAGAATCAAATAGAGATTGTGGAAATGAAATGCATAATGTATCAGGTAAAAGATGAACAATTTCACACGTTGCCAAACAGTGCTGCACAAAGGAGTGAATAGATGGAAGGTATGAAATAAAGGAAACATTGAAGTTTCAGGAAAGTTTAGTGATTTTCAGGTAGGGGTTCCAGAATGGGAGGAAACAAGGACCATGGCAGAAGCAATGTGCCCCCCCCCCAGTAAGACTGCAAACCTCTGAAAGAAAAAAATAGCCATCAAATTAAAACAGTGCACTGAGAACATTAAAGATGAAATCACCCTAAAACAAAACAATATATTTTGATAAAATTTCATTACATCAAAAAGAATCAGCCCAAATAGTTACCAGAAAACAACATGGATTATCTGTAGAGAATGAAATTCAGATGAAATCAGCAAAAGTAAAAGCAAGAAGATAATGAAACCGTGTGTTTGAGGTGCTGAAGCAGAGTAACTGCAGACCTAGAATTCTATACCTAGCCACACTGTCAACAAAGAAGGATAATGAGGTGGAGCTTTTGTTTATAAACGTATTCCCAAAAAGTTTACCAGCCCTACTGGAAAAATTAATAGCAGAGGTACTGCATTAATCACAGAAAGTCCAGGGGGAAGCTGTGGAAGATAAGAACTAGTGACAAGCAGAGATATACATTAAAGATATTAAAGTTTACAGAATTATTGATTAAAAATAGTCTTGGGATGTGTGAGAAGTGCAGACAGAGGTAAAGTGATGCCAAGAAGCCAGTCTCCAATGAGGAAGAATAATGGTATTGATTCACTCAATTAAGGATAGCAAATGTGAGTGGATTAAATATATCTATGAGAAGATAAATACTGACGGGTAAATACTAAGGAAGGAGAATATAGTAGTAGTAGCCCAAGGCAAAGTAGAATTCAGGGCAGAAACCACTCCTGAGAGTCAGAAGCAGTGGGTTAGTCAAGGCCTGGAAGGCAGCACTTGAAGGGTTGAGAGAGGAGAGATGGATGAAATGAAATTTCTCTTCTTGGAGATATTGGCAGGGGCAAGAAATCAACAGGCGATGCTGAGGTCCCTAGGGACCAGCCTAGGTCTGCAGAGGGAGAGGGTGATGTTCCTGAGACCCAGGAATAGCTGCAGCTGAGGAAAGGGGCAGCCACAGCCCTGCAGGGAGGGAGTGGGTGGTTGGGAGCTAAGGTCACTCTTCTCTTAGCCTCTGGTTTCCTGAAAACCAGAGAGGGCAGGGGTTTGCGGGTGCAGTCCATTGAGATCAGCTTCTGGAGCACCAAGCAGGACAGACAAGGTGCACCTGGCAAGAAAAGTGGAAATTCTTGTGCATCTCGTGCTGATAAAGGGAGCACTCACCAAGAAAACGGAGCAGGCACCCTCAGTGTGTGAAAGGACAAATTTCAAAATATATAAAGCAAAAAAAAAAAAAAGCACTGTGAGGAAAAATGGAAAATCTACATATCTTTCACAAGAAGATTGTCGCTCCCCCTCTTCGTGGAGGAGCGACACTAGACCCTGCCTAGGCTTCATATCCGAGTCACGGCACCATTATGTCGCTCCCCCTCTTCATGGAGGAACGACACAGGACCCTGCGCTGTTCTTCTGTCTGCTCGGCCCTTCCCGGGTTTCCTGCTGGTTCTTCCTGGGTTGGCTACTGTCCCTTCCACCTCCGTGGAAGGGCGGTTCCCCCTGCCACATTCCCCACTTCCGCGGGGGAGCGGCACACCGCCGGCCGGCTCTCTCGGGGGCTGCACAGGTGTTCCCTCAGATGTTCCTGGTGCATGTTGTCTCTCTCCTCCTTTATAGTCCTCTTCCACCAATCCCAACTCTGCTACCCACACGCCGAGTACGCTGCTCTCCTCCAATCAGGAGCAGGTCCTGCTGTTTATTGGTTGAACTGGAGGCAGCTGTGTAGAAGCTGTTTCCTCCTCTCCCAGCGCCATATTGTGGGAGAGCAGAT